AAAGTATTTTGAAAGACTCTTAATGAGAGACTCATCGATGGAGATACTCTTCTTTTTAAAGTTTGACGTTAAAAATTAAATCTTAACATTTCTCTGGTAGAGAATTACTATATATCTCCGTTTTGATATTAATTACAAAGTCATTTTCTGTTTTAGAATATAAACAAAACCAATTTATATTTATGTCGGCTGTTTGTTACATATAGTTCGTACATACAAGCATTTAATACATTAAAAACAAAAAATTGTTTTTTTCATTTGCAAATCAAATATGATAATTAATTTGTTAAATCACAAAATAGAAGTGAAAAATAGTAGTATCTCCGTTTTAAAATGTAAGATATTTTGAAATTTAAAAAAATATATATATATATAAGATGTTTTGACACTTCTATTTACTTTTTAACTTTATTAAATATTGTGTGATTGGTCAGATTATTTTTATTAAATATATTAAATGATATTTTTAGAAAAAAATTAGTTTCTTAATATCCGCGTTTTTAGGTAAAACATCTTACATTTTGAAACGGAGAGTGTAATACATACTTGTTTAAAAAAAAAAATCTTTTTGTTTGTTCAATCATTTGCCAAAACAAATTTCATAATTAATTTGTTAAATCACAAAACATAAATGAAAAATAGTAATACATATTTCTTGTCGTTTGAAAAAGAAAATTAAATTCTTAGACAAGTCCAAATTATTAATCTTGAGCAAGAGCAAGACTAAAAGTGAAAGTCATTTTAAAATACCAAATTATTCAACCCATCCAAAAAGCAAATGACCAAACTATCCAACATCTATCCCTATATATACCTCACAACTTCTCTCTACTCATCCACAACACAATAACACAAAACATGGCTCTCACAAAAATATCTTTAGTCCTTTTCCTCTGCCTCTTAGGTTTCTACTCCCAAATCGTCAAGTCTCAAAACTGCGGTTGCGCCCCAAACTTATGTTGCAGTCAGTTCGGTTACTGCGGTACAACCGATGCATATTGTGGCACTGGGTGCCGATCAGGTCCTTGTAGAAGCAGTGGAACCACTCCTTCGACGGGTGGTGGTTCGGTCGATAGCATTGTGACACAAAGTTTCTTTAACAGCATTATCAACCAAGCTGGTAGTGGCTGCGCCGGAAAAAACTTCTATACTCGTGATTCTTTCATTAGCGCGGCAAATACTTTCCCCAACTTTGTCAATTCCGTTACAAGGCGTGAAATTGCTACCATGTTTGCTCATTTCACTCACGAGACCGGACGTAATATTACTTCTC